ATAGGCTAATCCTCTGCCTGCGGCGCCAGCACATTGGGTTCTAGTCCCAGTCAGGGCACTGGATTCTGTCCTGGTTGCCCCTCTTCCAGTCCAGCTCTCTTCTGTGGCCTGGGAGTGCAGTGGAGGATAGCCCAAGTGCTTGGGCTGTGCACCCACATGGGAGACCAGAAGAAGCACCTGGCTCCTGGCTTTGGATTAGTGCGGTGTGCCAGCTGCAGCGGCCATTGGAGGGTGAACAAATGGTAACCGAAGACCTTTCTCTCTGTCCACGCTGCCTGTCAAAAAAAAAAAAGAATGAAAACAAAAATCAAGAAAACCTGGAACCCTGAACGAGGCGTATTTATTTACCTGGGGGTAGCCATTCCATTAGTGTTTACATTATTAATCAAACTTAGCAGAAAACAAAAGATCCTCTTTCTTTTTTCAAACTTTTTTTTTTGACAGGCAGAGTGGACAGTGAGAGAGAGAGACAGAGAGAAAGGTCTTCCTTTGCCGTTGGTTCACCCTCCAATGGCCGCCGCGGCCGGCGCGCTGTGGCCAGTGCACCGCGCTGATCCGAAGGCAGGAGCCAGGTACTTTTCCTGGTCTCCCATGGGGTGCAGGGCCCAAGCACTTGGGCCATCCTCCACTGCACTCCCTGGCCACAGCAGAGAGCTGGCCTGGAAGAGGGGCAACCAGGACAGAATCCGGCGCCCCGACCGGGACTAGAACCCGGTGTGCCGGCGCCGCAAGGCGGAGGATTAGCCTAGTGAGCTGAGGCACCTGCCGTTTTTTCAAATCTTATCACTGAATTAACTGAGGTTCCATCAAAGAAAACCACAGTCTAATATTCAAATCATGGCACACAGTTCCTACACAAGTGGGCAGACTGTGAATAAACAGAAGTAAATTTCTACAAAAGACTCGAATGGAATGAGCGCTGGGAGGCAGCCTGTGGAACCCACACTCAGCTTCCCCAGGCTCCAGGTCTTGGTGCTCACACCACCTGGGGTCGGCCTCCCCCACACTCCATTTGTCCACGTGGGATCTGTGCCATCCCAAGCCTCACCAGCAGAAACTCCGTCCCCACACCCTGCCCCTCGTCCTTGGCCCAAAAGCCTGTGGTAAATACACCACTGAGTCTCTGCTGTTACGTCATTAGCAACAAAACGCTGACTCAGACCCCCAGGGAAAGCTGTGGACCTGAGACCCCGGTGCCCAACTCAAGGAAATCAGGTCACGCGTGAGGTTCAGATTCTCCTTCTCCCCACACAACCTGGAGAGGTGAGGCCGGGTTCAGGCGCAGTCGCTGCACGCTGAGACGGGGCAGCACACCAGGGTCCCAGCTGCCAGCCCCCCTCCCTCCTGTGGGCCCGGGACCCTCACACTCACTGTTTCCGGCGTCCAGGGACTCCGGGCGTCCTCTCAGGGCCCTGCGCTGAGGGGAGTTCAGGGTAGAAGCTCTGAGCTGACCGGGGCGCTCTCAGGAGCAGACCAGGAAGAGGATCCCCCACCCAGGGTCTGCCCTGTTGCCATGGTGCGCCTGATTCCACAGTCACAGAGGCCGCATGACGTCACAGAGGACGCACCCAATCAGCATCGTCCCTAGCCTGAGGGCGGGCCCTTGGGGTTGTGCCGGGTGAGGGGAGTGAGAGGCGGGGCTTGGCCTCAGGCCTGAAACTTGGCCTTCCCGACAGCAGGGGGCGCTGCCCCGCCCCCAGGATCCCATCTCCTGAGATCCTGTTCGGACCTTGAAACTGGAGCTTGCCATAATCCTCAGGTGAGTTATAGTTTACTGTTTACTGGATTCTGGGCCTTTTTCTCTTTGTGTTCTTGGCTTATTTTTCTGTTACATCATTCGATTTTTGTTAAGTATGGATTTGAAGAGTATTTCTCATACAAATATTCATTTTCCAGATTGTACTTTGTCCCTTACCATTGTTTTCTATTTGCTTTTTATGGGGACCTGGTAACCCACTTGATTGTATTGATCCTGTACCCAATAATTTTGCCTAATTCACCTGTCAGCTCTATTTGGTTTTGGACTATGTTGGATTTTCTCTACATATATAGCATCATTAACATGTTAACAGTTCTGTTGCTAAAAGCTGACCCTATACCTTAAATTTCCTTTTGTGTGCTTGATTTCCATAATTATGCATCCAGGACAATGTTAAAGAGAGAGAGAGAGAGGAGAAAGCCTTTTTTAGTTCACTCTCGGGGAAAAATCGTTCAGTGTCCTGAACCAAGCATGTGCACGGCCACCGCCCCCTTGGGCTCCCCTAGGCCCTTGCTCTGCATCCTCCTCCCTCTTGTGCCTCCAGCGCTGGTCACCACCGGGCAGCGGTGTCTGTGCAGAGAGCGCAGAGCGAGTGGCGCCCGCAAGTCCTGCACTGCTCCACAAGCTGGGCCCGGCGCCCGGGATGCCCAGGCGGTGCCCTGGAAGGCGCTGGTCTAGCGCGCCCAGAGCGGAGATCCTCATCCCCACGCAGTCAGTACACCCTCAGGCCGTGCGCGATGAGGCACTGAAGCAGCAGCCGGCACTGAGGGGCCGTCCCCAAGGACGAGAAAGCGGCCTGGCCGAGGGCGGGGAGCACGGCCTGCTTGAGGCAGGTGCATGTGGCAGGTGCATGACGCAGAAACGTTCCCTGCTGCTCTCCCTGCTCCCTGGCCCGGGACTACGCAGTCCAGCCCCCACCACCACTGCCTCCACCATGGGCAATGACAGCGGCGGGCCTGGGGGTCGGGCCGGAGCAAGGGGACCAGCAGAACTGTGAGCTGTGCGGGAAGATGGAGCCTGCTGTGCTGTGGCCGCCCCAGCGCCAGGACTGGAAGGAGCAGGAGCTCCTGTGCCAGGGCAGAGAGGGCGCCTCTGGCCGCCAGGCAGGCCCACACCAGCACCCAGGCCTTTCCCCTACACCGCGGACCAGGGCCTGTGGGACCAGAGCCTGGAGGCCTTGGGGCAGTGCCTCCGCCGCCGCCAAGGCTTCTGGCCGGCCCCTGGAGTTGCGGCCAAGGCAAAGGCCAAGTAGGTAGCCAACCCTGCGGTCGCGCGTCCCCGCCTCGCGTGCCTCCAGGGCCCGGCGGTTGCCGAGGCGGAGCCTGGGAAGGAGGAGCCGCTGATTGGCCGTCGCTGCACCTGGAGAAGGCGAACTTGTACCCACCAAGCAATAGACCAGGCTGCGGATTGAGCCATAACTGAGATCTGCAGCCCAAAGGGCAGAGGAAGCCGCTTCCGACGCTGCCTTGCATGAACAAGCAGGACATCTGTGTAGTGGACGACTTCCTGGGCAAGATAGGTGAGGAGATGCGTGCCCTGCAGAACACAGGCAGGTTCATGGTAGCCCTAAGAGCGACTCGTCCTAGGGCATCCGAGGTGACAAGATCACCTGGATCAAGGGCAAGGAGCCCGGCTGTGTAACCACTGGGCTGCAGATGAGCAGCACGGACGACCTGATCCTCCACTGTAAGGAGAAGCTGGGCAACTACAAAATCATTGGCCTGATGAAAGCCATGGCTGCTTGTTATCCAGGCAATGGAACAGGTTGTGTGCGTCATGTTGATAATTCAAACGGAGATGAGAGATGTGTGACATGTATACATTATCTTAATAAAGACTGGGGTGCCAAGGTAAGTGGAGGTGTACTTTGAATTTTTCCAGAAGGCAAGCCCAGTTTGCTGCCATTGAACCCAAATTTGATAGATTGCTGTTTTTCTGGTCTGACCCTCGCAACCCTCATGAAGTACAACCAGCATATGCTGCCAGACAGAATAACTGTTTGGTATTTTGATGCAGATGAGAGAGCAGCAGCTAAAGTAAAATATCTAGCAGGTGAAAAAGGAGTGAGGGTTGAACTCAATAAACCTTCTGAGTCAATCAGTAATATGTCTTATAGAGCCTCTCATCCAGCAATACCCTCGGTTCACTACAATAATTGTTGACACTGTTAACTTGTGAATGCAAATAAATGGGATAAATAAAAACAGACAACCAATCAGCAGTTTAATCAGGAAAAGATATAGCTGTTTTGTGGAGCATCATACAAGAAGATTTCACTGCTGTGGCTTTGTACTGCATGATCCACTCAGAATCTGTGATTGTTTATGGGAGGAAGGTAAGCTATCAGTGGAAAATGGTTTTTACATCTGGACAGGAAATCCGTGCCCTGTGTGGAATTTTTTCATTCTTATATTTTGTATGATCTGTCATCTAGCTGAGTTCATTCCATATCTCCCTTTTTTATATCAAGTTTAAATTTGGGGTAATTTTTGTATGATTAGGTATTATTTATATTGAATTGAGAAAAAATCACAGTATTATTAATCTATTTTTGTGAACTTCTTCATACTATTAAGTTTTTGCCCTAAAAGACCTCTCAAAATGATTGTTGCTAGTGGCTGATGGTTAATTCATTTTCTTTTCACTTAAAATAAGAAAAGGAGCACTTTACCAATGGAAATATCAGATTTTTTTGTCGTGCTATCTTGCTCTAATTTGGATTCTTAAAGATTGCTGTTGTCATGTTTTTGACATTGTTAATAATGAAACCTAACAGTGAAACAGTCATCATTTATTACAAGTAGCTTCAGTTCATGTTTTATAAGGAAAAATACACTGTAAGAAGGATTTACATTTTCAAGTTGTTTTTTTTTTTTTAACAAAACTAGAGTGACTGGCACTAAGTGAACTTGAGATTATCCTCAGCATCAAGTGCTTAAGATAAAGGGCTTTCTTCTGCATTCAGGTGTTTCCTATGGAGGTAGATGATAATTTCCCATTTCTAGGTTTTCCCTTTTGCTTCTCAAATTGATTGCACTTTCAAATTTATTGATTTCTTCCTAATACTCTAACCCATCTGATCTTCAGATCATAACGCTGTTTCTTTTGAAGCACATCAGGGGGAGATTATATTTGCATTGAGAAGGAAATGTGTTTTTACAGACTTGATGTTCAGTGAGTCTTCAGACAGCTCTTGAGACATTGCCCAAATGTGACGCCAGCCTTCTTGTCAGTACTGAAAGATGTATGCTTAGTTTAGAAAAATGAACAAGCACAAAACCAGATAATTTTATTTTTATGTTTTTGTGGGTTTTCTTTTTTATATTTTAGAAAAAAGAAGGAACATTACATAATCACACAAGGCCTCTCAGACTTCTATTACTTAAAGAATGAGTTGGGACAGACATCTTAGATTGCACTCTCCTAAGCTCTTTAGCAAAGAGCCCTTAAGTTTCTAACCACCTTCTTCAATCTTCTTTGCCAAAATCTGAGTATACAGAAACATTTCTAGATATTTCTTTTTTTAATTTTTATTTTATTTATTTGAAAGTCAGAGTTACACAGAGAGAGAAGGAGAGGCAGAGAGAGAGAGAGGTCTTCCATCTACTGGTTCACTCCCCAGTTGGCTGAGCTGATCTGAAGCCAGGAGCCAGGAGCCTCCTCCAGGTCTGCAGGGAACTCCAAATTCAGGAACTCCTAAGAACTATATGTTGGGTTGTTTGATAGTATCACATAAATCTCCAACACTGTTCTTAATTTTCTAGTTTCTTCTTCTTCTGGTATAGCATTTTCTAATTATCTGTCCTCCTTCTCCTCCTCCTCCTTGTCCTCCTTCTCCTTCCAAGATTTGTGTTCTAGCTTGGATAGTCTTTCTTCTCCTTTATAAGTCTGTTGTTAAGGGTTTCCACTGGATTTTTATTTGATCTATTGAATTCTTCATTTCTAATATTTCACTTTGATTATGATTTTAAAATCCCAATTTCATGGGAAAAAATTTCTTTCATGTAATGTATGGCTTTCTTTAATTCATGGGTTTGCTTCTGTTTGCTTTTGAGTAATCCTATGATTAATTTTTTCAATCTCATTTCCAGCATTTCATCAAGCTCTTCATTTTTACATTTTAAAATTGATGTGTTGCAGATATTCTATACATTTAATGTACACATTGAAGTTTCAAAAATTATTTTCATTGAGCAAGAAAATAAAAACAGTGTGACCTTAAAAAAATTGATGTGTTGTTGTGTTCCTTTTATTGGGGGTGTCATGCTGTGTTCCTTATTCTTGTTTCTTGAATTGAATTTCTGCATATATTTTTAGACATTTGTGGCTACACTTGTTGGTTTTTTCCTCTGATGGCTTTTATCTTTGAAGTATGCTTTGTGGCTTAGTGGAACGCTTGCACTTTCAGTGAATGCCCAGAGGTGTGTGCTGGGTGTGACCAGAGAGCTGTGGTCAATGCCCTAGCATGGTGTGAGTATCCAGGGTAAGTCCCAACTAGGGTGAGGTAGATCTCCTCTTGTTAACAAAAGGGAGTGAATGGTCACCTCTGTTGGTGTGATCACAGCCTCATCTGCTTTCCTCCAAGTTGATCAATGCTCAGGTGTTAGCCCCCAGTGGGCGCAACACTCATCTGCACCCATGTGTGAACCACAGACACGATCTGCAGTCCTCACTCCAAGCACAGGTCTCATTGTCTTGAGTGTTTAGAGCCACACACAGTGATTTCTCAGAGGCCGAGATACATGCTGTACCTTCTCATGCAGCCAGCGTGTCCTCACAGCCTCAGCACACAAGGATCCTGTAGTTGCGGGGTGCAGTGAGTCTGCTCCACCTCCCACCTGTCCAGTCCACAGAGAGGCAGACTTTTCCCTGAGTCCACTGTCTGCTGGAGTTCAGCCTAAGTGGCTTGAGCCCCAGAGCCTGTGGTATATTAGGAGGCCAGGAGTGCCTCACAGTCTCAAGTGGGTGCCCAGCTCCCTGTCCTTGTAGCCAGGCTCAAAGAAGGTGGGGACCTAGGATTTTTTCTTCTGATAGAATCTCTGGATCACATGTATACAGAAGAGCCACTGGCCAACTGTTGCCATCTCCCTGCCACTGCCGTGAGTCAGGGCACTAAATTTCTTTTTGAGATAGTAAAAATGTTCTAACCTGGCATTCATTATGGTTGCACATTTCTTAAATCCCCTGAACTTTACACTTTCAATGGATGAATAATATGGCAAGTTAATTATACTCATATATAATATACATTTTAGGAAATTTATGATTCCTAATAATTTTGAAATGTGTATATTTAATTATTTCACTTTTTGTGTGTGATATTAACACACTAATATTTTGAATTCCAGGCTACAGAAAATATGACTTCCTTTCTGTATAACATTATATAGATAGAGAGATATAGATGGATATGGTTATAAATGCATGAAAAATACCTGCATCATGTAAACTGAATCAATAATAATGATGGTTAATGCAGGGTGCAGGTCTTCAATAGATTGTTGATGATGGTGATGTTAATCTCATCTATTTTTTTTTTTTTTTGACAGGCAGAGTGGACAGTGAGAGAGACAGAGAGAGAAAGGTCTTCCTTTTGCCGTTGGTTCACCCTCCAATGGCCGCCGCTGCAGCCGGCGCACCGCGCTGATCCGATGGCAGGAGCCAGGATCCAGGTGCTTTTTCCTGGTCTCCCATGGGGTGCAGGGCCCAAGCACTTGGGCCATCCTCCACTGCACTCCCTGGCCATAGCAGAGAGCTGGCCTGGAAGAGGGGCAACCGGGACAGAATCCGGCGCCCCGACCGGGACTAGAACCCGGTGTGCCGGCGCCGCAAGGTGGAGGATTAGCCTATTGAGCCACGGCGCCGGCCCTCATCTATTTTTTTTGACAGGCAGAGTTAGACAGTGAGAGAGAGAGAGAGAGACAAAGGTCTTCCTTTTTCCGTTGGTTCACCCCCTAAGTGGCCGCTATGGCCAGCATGCTGCGCCAATCTGAAGCAAGGAGCCAGGTGCTTCCTCCTGGTCTCCCATGCAGGTGAAGGGCCCAAGGACCTGGGCCATCCTCCACTGCACTCCCGGGCCACAGCAGAGAGCTGGACTGGAAGGGGAACAACTGGGACAGAATCTGGCACCCCAACCAGGACTAGAACCTGGGGTGCTGGCACTGCAGATGGAGGATTAACCTAGTGAGCTGCAGCACTGGCCTCATCTATGTTCCTATAGAATGTATTTAAGGAATAGAGAGCTCAACAAGTTCAGACACCTAAGGTGCATAACTGTGTTATCTTCATTAGTAATGAGTAATCCCTTAATTCCAAGGGAATCCTTAATTAGTGTATTCTCTTGTCATTGATCTCTTTAGTTTTTGCTATAGGGACTATATTATTTATTCTTCTGCATTCAGTGCAAATTAACTGTTAGAACTCCTCTTACTGACTAGGTACTCAAAATTAAGTACTCCAGTCATTACATGGAAGGTATGACTATGATACAGAGAGAGGAAGTGAGTTGCAAAATGATCAGTCAGCAATTGAGTGTGGCCTTTCCACTTTCTCTGTTCAATGCAGATTGCTGGGAATCCACATCTCAAACTGTAGAATGTCCTGCTGACAAGTGATCACTATTATAGGAACAATAATTGTTGTGAGCAGATATTAGGACCTACTACTCCATGATGGCATTCTATGTTTTTGATCTATGCAATCCATTTTCTGTTTAAATCAGTGTGACCCTAAGACCTAAGCATTTAGGGTACACAAAATTTGCTTCTTTGGTCTGAGGTGGAGGTACTTAAGGTGGAAATCTCAAAGCTTGAGTCTCTTAGTTTGCAGAATAAAGTAACTGATGGGCAGTTGCAGCATCTAAGATGATACAAGAATTTGAATAGTACATTTCATATCCTACCCATAGAGAAAATGAATAATGGCTGTGAACCGAGAATCATCATCCCCATTACATTCCCACTGAAGTTCTCTTCAACTGTATCACAGCATCCATGCCCATTCTCAATAGGACAGGAGCAGAAGTAGCAGCAGGAGCTCCATGAAACTCTTATATTCACCTCTTTTCCTTGTTTGTGGCAAAATCCAGCAGGTAGATAACAAGGTTCTGGTCAAGTTCTTAAAAAATATTAAAGTTTTGTTAGATATGTGGAGAGGAAGGCAAATGGACAGATGGTGAGCTGGTTTTCAGATACTTCTGAATAAGCCAATATCAGACAGCCAGCTTTTAAATTTGCACAGTAATTTTTGAATATATTTGCCCCATTTCCCGGGTGTATTATGGAAATAAATGGACTAGAGTAATGTCCCAACTGTGGGAAATTATCCATTGATTCACAAATTATTTCAGTAGATGAGATCAATTATCATTTTAAAAACTGAGAAAAGAGTTGCCAAAATAATGACATTTCTTCTTTAAGTGTTTTAAATTACAATAGAATCTCTGGTGTGTGGTACAATGGGTTAAGCTGTGGCCTGCAATATTGGCATCCCATATGGGCATGTTTGGGTCTTGGTTACTCTACTTCTAATCCAGTTCCTGGATAATGTGCCTGGGAAAGCAATGGATGGTGGCTCAACTGCCCCCCATGTTGAAGGCCCAGATGAAGCTCTTGGCTTCAGCTGGACCAGCCCTGGCCATTGCAACCATTTCTGTAATGAACCAGTGGATGGAAGATTCATTCTCTCTCTCTCTCTCTCTCTCTCTCTCTCTCTCTCTCCATATATATATATGTGTGTGTGTGTGTGTGTGTGTGTGTGTGTATCTTTCTCTCTCTTTCCCCCATCTCCCCCTTTCCTTCTTCTCTCTGCCTTTAAAATAAATAAAATAAACCTTTAAAAATAATTAACATAGAATGTGAAATTTTTCCTACTTAAATATCTGTAATGAGAAGACATGGGTTCTATAACAACCATGCAATTATTGGAACCAAAGAAGATGACAAAATTAGTGACCATTACCAAACACTTCTCACATTTGAATTTCTCCATTAATAGAACAATTATTTCAAATGTGAATTTGTCTAATCAAGAATTTAATAAGTGATCAGAATTTCACTGGGGTGTCATATGTATAGAGATGAGTACTCATGTATCCCCTCTGTTTTCCAAGAGTCTATGTATACAGAAAATATATAGATAACCATTCTTGTTTCCTAATGCAGGGTTGAAAAGTCCTGTGGAAAATGTAGCCACACCTTTCCATGATATTATCAATATAGGACCATGGGAAGGCTTTTCTGGGCTACATCTAAGCAGGTGCTGATTCCACTCACTCTCACCATCTTTTCAAAATTGCTAACCCTGGAACTTTCCTGATGTTGCTCCATCACTCAGGTTGGAGTCCATGCTTGTGAATGTTTGTGTGAGAGTAACAGAGGATATCTGAGATTCAGTGTAATCCAAGGAGTGGTACAGGTATCTCCTCACTTGGTGTTAGCAAAATCTTCCATCCCTCAGGTCACGTCTCTCCTGGGCAGGAAGGAGACATTACTTTAAACCCACAGGTATGGGGGTAGGGATGACGTGACTTAGCCTGTGCTTCTGAGATTGCTTTTCAGCTTGTAGTGCACTACCAGAAGGCCATTGTGTGCCACTAGGTGTGCAAAAGATGGTTCCAGATGCTCTGTGAACAATGTGGCTCATTCAACATGGGAATGGATGTGCAGACCATGTGATTTGGGAGGTGTGATATTAGTTCCTGTAAGTCAGTTCCAGATGCTCTGTACAGTGTACCTGATCCACAGTGACTACAGGAAAGCATTAGGTATGTGGACAAAGAGTGGTGGGAGTTGCATGGGGCTGAATCCAGGTTGTTGCTCTGTCACAGTTTACTCATATCTAAGATAAGAATACTAACAATACAAGCCAAATGTCCCTAAATTCCATGAGAAAGCATTGTGAAATGTGTGCCAGCTGCCTTGTGCTACATGGAAGTTGTATTTGTAGGGCTTCATGTTGTCTCCTCTTCAAGTGAAGTGTCTGGTTCCCTCCTGCACTGTGTTACCTGTCTGGTCCTTCTGGTTTGAGTTTACAGCAGTTTATACAAGATCTATTTTCTAGGAGCAGGAAATTCTACAAGGGAAATTTGGGTCCTGCATAATATTTTCATTTCCCTTTGAAAAATTTAGTTTATATTGTATGAAAAACAGAGCTCCATAGATAGGAATTGTCTCTGAAAAAACAACTCTCTCACTGCACTTTTTTCTTAGTGTTTCAGAGCAGGGACAAAATAAGCCCTGACTTGTGTCAATCCTAGCTTTAGTTGGCCCAAGGAGTTACTGATCAGGCTGACCAGAATGAACATGACTTGATTGATACTACATTGCCTTGTCCATAGGTTATCAAATACTGGTGGCATTGAATTATTTGGACCAACTTTCACAAGGGAGGTGTAATTTGTTGAAGAGGACTCACAAGGGGTTATGAAATATTACTTATAAAATAGGCAACTTTTTTATATAAAAACATAATTTCCATCTTTTTAAAGTGTTTTAAAAATTATATTTAAGTTACACAATTTCATGTATTTTCATATTTAGGGTTATGATTTGAAATAAGAAATTTAGACAGATTTTAACTCCTAGAAAGTTTCTTAAAATATTAATAAAATATAATACTGTGTACACATGTAAGTAAAAATTTAAAACATGAAGACATGACCTTCAGACAATTTCTTTGTGGAATTCATATGACCTCTCCTCATGCCAGTAGCTTTAGTAAGAGCCAACTGATTTGCACATATAATGTTTATGAAAACATCTACATGTGATTGTTAAGTTGTACTGATTTTATTTGGCATGCAGTTTATTTCTGACCTACTCACAAATATGTATCAGCATTTGGTGTATGAGTACTCAAAAAACTTACTGGATTAGAAAAGAATAATTTGACTTGTAAATCAGTTGACATTTTGGGGTGGGCTTAGCTGACAGTTCTTATGATCATTCTAGGTTCACAAATAAGGTTTTAGCCCTCTGGTACCTTGATTGAGCCTGGTGTCTTAAAGATGACTTCACTCACATGTCTGGTGATTTGTTCTGGCTCTAACATATTCTCTCTGTTTCCAAGAAGTAGGCCCCAGGTTTCTTCACTTGATCACTGTTTCAAAGAAGGACTATTAGACACTGTGCTTGTATCATATTTTCTGATATCCCAATGGCTAAAGCAATTGAAATGGGAAAATCAAGGGTCATTGTCAGGAATAACTGTGAGGGCATGGATAAATGAAGTGTCATCTGAAGCATTATGGAGACGTGTACTACAATAAACATCTATTTTGAACATTTTCCTTAAAGTTGCAGGCAAAAATGTGAGATAACCAGATGCATACTGTTTATGGAATGTAAGCAAGAAGTATTCTAATTGAAATGCCAGTGTGCATTTGTATTAATAGGAAAATAGTTAATACCACTCAAGTATTTTTTCTATAGAGTAAATTCTAGTGATAGCACTAGGTTTCTTTGGTTTACTGTAATTCATTTGTACAACAATCCTTAAATTTTTAAATTATTTCTTTACAGTAACATTTTTCATGCAATTATCAAATAGATGTTTCCATTAACTCTGTAATGACTTGTTCTTAGTTTCTACTCATTAATCAAATTGCCGGTATTCTTCTTAAGAAGGTACTCCTTCCTGCCTTTTCCCATGACTAAAGGGTTATTCCACAACAGCAGGTGGATTATGTTTTGCTTTACCACCTAACGTGTCTATTTTTTACCACCTAATGGGTCCATGTTTTCTCTACTCACTTCTGTCATAATGTCATTTGGCACAGTAGAATCTCTGATCCATACTAGTTTTCTAAAGACTGTTACCATTCACCTTCTCTTCCAGGAAACCTCTTCTCTTCCAGCAAACCTCTGTGTCACAGATAAGAGAAAATACATACCCAATAAGTTATTTACTTAATTATTCATCAGCTTATTTTGCATTATATTTTAGGAGTTATTTAAAGGTTCATTAATGAAAATGGGAAAGTAAGCATAAATAAAATTCAACATTAGAAATTGCGTAAACAAGGCTGGTGCCAGGGCTCACTAGGCTAATCCTCCACTTGCAGCTATGGTACTCAGGGCTCTAGTCCCGGTTGGGTCACGGTCATTTGGGGGGGTGAACCAATGGAAGGAAGACCTTTCTCTCTGTCTCTGTCATTTGGGGGGGTGAACCAATGGAAGGAAGACCTTTCTCTCTGTCTCTTTCTGTCTCTCACTCACTGTCTAACTCTGTCAAAAAAAAAAAAGAAAGAAATTGCATAAACAAAGTGATACTGATGTGGTATAAGAAATTAGAATCATCTAAGTTTAATGAAAAGCGATCCTTGATTTTTCTGTTGCCACAGCAAAGGACATATTTGATATAGGATTCTAACTGTGACTTAGAGGAGAATGTAGTGAATTCTTGGGGCACATGAAGTCTGAAACAGAGTCTAGATGGACATACAGATGACTCTGCAACAGAGAATGACCTAGAAGGAGATGACAGCAGGGGGCAGTTCACTGATCTTGGTCTCCATAAGTGAGCAAAAAGTCCTTTCTTGATCTAGGCTGCTCAACTCTGTGTCTGTCACATCCTCACATCACATAAGAAATATTTGAAGCATCTATTTTTAAAACTTGTTTTCTTCATAACACATGTTCCTCCAAAGGACACATACTTTTTTCTCTTTTTAAAATGCCATATTTACCTTGAATGAACAGCTTAAGTGTAGTTTTTTAATAATCATGTTCAGGGAGTTACTGTGGTGGAAAGCAAGCTAAGACACCCTTCGCAAGCCCTGCATCCCTTATCAGCATGCCACTTCAAGTTCTGGTTACCACACTTGCTATCTATCTCCCTGATCACGTACCTGGGAGGCAGTGGATGATGCCTTCTGTGGTTGGGTGCCTGCCACTCACATGGGAGACCAAGATGGAATCTTGGCTCCTGGCATTGGGCTGGCCCAGCCCTGGCAGTTGGGGGCATTTGTGGAGTGAATCAGTGGATGGAAAATCAGTGTCTCTATCTCTGCCTCTCTGTCTCTCTTCCTCCCCTTTCTTCCTCCTCTCCTCTTCTCTCCCTTTCATAGAAATATATCTTAAATATATTTTAATTATACTTGTATCAGAAATCTCATATTTATTATTTGATTTTTAAGAAAATTCTGGGTACATGTTTGGCACAGGAGTTAAAATACAGCTTGGGATGCCCACATCTCATATCCATGTCTGGGATCAAACCCTGATTTGGCTTCCAATTCCAGCTTTCTGCTAATGCACATCCTGGGATGCAGCAGGTAATGGCTCAGGTAGTTGGGTCCCAGCCACCAACATGGGAGATTGGAACTGATCTCCAAGCTCTGAGCTTTACCTTGATGGAGCCTTGGCCTTTCATGGAGTGGTGATCAATAGATGTCATTATTGAAGGAGAATCTAGTCAATGTCACAAGCTTAATCTTTGGAGCAACATTGGTATTTTCACATAGAGCACATCCTCATATACTGTGAACGTTGTTCTAAGCAATATTTTTATATGCCCAGCAATACTCATTATGCATTTCCTTGAATTATGTCTCTAAGATGATACCTATTCGTTTACAATTATATTGGATGTATTTTTTCAACCATTTTATTCTAACAGGGTAAAGAACTTCTCATTGCCTTTCATAAATAAATAAATGAAACTCATAATGTTTTCATTAATTTTAGTAAATTTTATAAATACTAGATTAAGTACGTCTTGAAACACTGGAAAATGGCCAGGAGTCAGGAGCTTCTTCCTGGTTCCCCACATGTGTGCAGGGGCCCAAGGACTTGGCCACCACCTGCTGCTTTCCCAGGCACGTTAGCAGGGAGCTGGATCAGAATTGGAGCAGCACGGACTTGAACTGGTGCCCATATGGGATGCTGCAGCTTCATTCCAGGGCTTTAACCTGCTATGCCATAACACCAGCCCCAAGTAAATAATTTTAAAATAAATTTTGCATATATATTTCAATGATCCTATATTTAGTTTATACTAATACTAAATTGTATGTTTGTAGCCCCAAAATTACTTCACATTGTTTCAAACTCATTTAATTGGTATATTCTGCTATATCACAATCTTAAAAATTAGTAATAAAAATAGATTTATGAATCATTAAAATGATTATGGACTAGGACTGTGGTTCATAGTTGGAGAAAACATTTTATTGTAATAAAATACATCACTGAACACTGGATATTTTAATTGCACATTTTAGTGGCATTAAATATTTTTGCATTACACAGCAACCATCACATTCCATCTACAGAATTTTTTTAATTATCCACAAGTAAAACTTTGAATGCATTAAAAGCTAATTCCACGTTTCCCTCCATTACAGACCCTGTGATCACTTCTCTACTCTCTTTCTTGAATTTGTCTACTCTAGAAACTCTAAGTGGAGTCATACAATAATTGTACCTTACTACCGGTCACTTCTAGTAGTATTATGTCTTGAAGTTTCATCCCTTGTTCTGGTACATGTAAAACTTATAATTCTTCAATTCCAAGTATATTTCATTGTATGTTGCTCTCATTTGAACATAACTTTGGTGGTGTTAATCCCCCCTTGTGAGGCATTAAGGTGGGAAAATTAATCTGAGTGTGGTGTTTAGAGGTGGGACTCTTGGGATGGGATTAGGATTAGAGGAGATCATCATTATCTTTTTATGGAAAGTTGGGTTGCTTCTATCTTTTGTTTATTGTGAATAATGTTGCTTTGAGCATGTGTGCACAAATATCTGTTCTTTTTAAAATCTTATTTAAGGTATACAAGTTTCATGTATTTCATATACACAGATTCAGGAAAATAGTGATGCTGCCACCTTACCCTCCTTCCCATCCATGCTGCCTTTTTCAACCTCCCTCTTCTATTCCTATTCTTATTTTTTACAAAGATCCATTTTCGGTTAACTTTATACTCATAAGCTTACACTTACACTAAGTAAAGAGTTAGACAAATAGTATGTATATAGTAAAAAAAAATTGTTTCTCAACAGTAGAGACCCACTTTCACATCTCTTGGTTGTATACTCAGTAGTGGAATTCCTGGATCATAAGAAAATTTTATATTTAGTTTTTGGGAAGTTTCAGTACTTTCTTCCCTATTATTTTCATCATTTTGCATTCACAACTGTAGTATATTAGAGATTCAATTTCTCCATCATTGCTAATCCTTACTTGTACATAATGGACATTTGAATGAGTGTAAAGTAGTATTTTGTTGTTTGTCATTTGCATTTTGCTAACAACAAATTTATTGATAATTCTTTCATGTGCTAAGCAACAACTTGTATAACTTTGTAGAAATATTTAATTCTTTGTCCATCTCTAAATGTTTTTGTTTCTGAGTTGTAGGATTTTCTTATATGCAACATATCTCCAATAATGATGTCTTCTGAAACATGAATTGTAAAGACTCTTCCCATCAAATGTGTTCCCTTTTCACTCTGATAGTACCTTTTGTTGTATAGTTTTAATTGTATACAATTCCTGCTGCAGTTTTCTTTTGTTGCTTTGGAATCATTAGTATTATATAAAATAAATTACTACCAACCCCATTGTCATTGTTTCTCCCTTTTTTCTTAACATTTTAAATTCAAAATTAAAATTTGATATCATAACATAGACTATTAAATGATTGTCATTTATTTAGAGAACAATATTCAAATTAAATTTAATGCATTTCCAGTTAGAGTAGTATCCTTTGTTACTAATGGCTTTTTCAGTGTTTTAAATTGTCAAGCTGTGTTGGCTTGGTAGGCAAAGGCCAACCTACATTCAAAGGACAGTAATTGCCCCCTCAGATGCTAGAGTCATAAAAACATTCTGGCCTCCATGTGTCTACCACAAATGTAATTGTTATTTTGTATTTTAGTTTTGTCCAACATAAATTATAATTTTCTTTGTGATTTTTTCATTCATAGATTATATAGGTTACTTGAGTTTTAAATACTAGAGGCTTCTCTGGGCTTCTGTTTTCTAACTGACTTCTTTTTTAAATTTTTTAGAAAGCTTTTATTTTATAAATATAAATTTCATCAGTACAGCTTTAGGAATATAGCAATTCTTCCCCCCATACCCACTCTCCCACCTGCAAACCTTCCCATATCTTACTCCCTCTCCCATTCCATTCTTCAGTAAGATTCATTTTTAATTAACTTTATATACAGAAGACCACCCCATACTTAAGTAAAGATTTCAACAATTTGCACCCCCCCACACACACAAAGTATAAAGTAATGTTTGAAAACAAGTTTTATAGTTAATTTTCATAGTACAACTCATTGAGAACAAAGGTCCTACACGGGGAGTAAGTGCACAGGGACTCCTGTTGTTGATTTAACAATTGACATTCTTATCTATGATGGCAGTGATAACCCATGCAGTTTTTGTTTCATGTCATTTGATACTTTCTTTTGGTCACCGTAATATTTAAAATTGTTATATCATTCTGATATATGATCCGTATATTACCATGAAAAATCTTGATAAAAATTGCCACTTTTATATTAATCCATAAAGATAATTCTACATCTATACTTTAAGAATAAAATGTGACATTCAAACCATTGAAAATGAGTACAAAAATTACAAGAGAAATTCAATCCAAGACACAGGATAAAGTATTGTAATTTAAAAGTTTTGGACTGTCTCTGTCTCTCTCTCACTGTCTAACTCTATCTGTCAAATAAATAAAAAAATAAAAAATGTCTTGATTGTCAAGAAATTTTTGAAACAAAAAAAGTCAGTGGGTATGTGGCCTGGCAGTTAAGTCACAAGTTGGGATGCCCACACCCAATATCATAGTGCTTCTACTGGAGTTCTGTTTCTACTCCAGATTCTGGCTTTGAGATAA